TTTCAAGTGATCGTTCATACGATGAAAGTGCTTTTGAGTACTCGCCCATGTTATAATACACATTACCGATGTTGTTGTAGGATTGTGCGAAGTCGGGATGATTTGGAGGGAGAGCTATTTTATGGATTTCAAGTGATCGTTCATACGATGAAAGTGCTTTTGAGTACTCGCCCATGTTATTATACACCATACCGATGTTGTTGTAGGAAGCAGCCAAGTTGGGATGATTTGGTGGGAGAGCTATTTTCCGGATTTCAAGTGATCGTTCATACGATGAAAGTGCTTTCGAGTACTCGCCCATTTTATCATACACCAGACCGATGTTGTTGTAGGAAGTAGCCAAGGAGGGATGATTTGGAGGGAGAGCTATTTTCTGGATTTCAAGTGATCGTTCATACGATGAAAGTGCTTTCGAGTACTCGCCCATGTTTATATACAAAGTACCGATGTTGTTGTAGTCAGAGGCTAAATCAGGGTGATTTGGAGGGAGAGCTATTTTCCGGATTTCAAGTGATCGTTCATACGATGAAAGTGCTTTCGAGTACTCGCCCATTTTATCATACACCGAACCGATGTTGTTGTAGGAAGAAGCCAAGCCGGCATGATTTGGAGGGAAAGCTATTTTCTTGATTTCAAGCGATCGTTCATACGATGAAAGCGCTTTCGAGTACTCGCCCATGTTATGATACACCGTACCAAGTTGAAGATTATAATCCGATTGCTGTTTGTCAGTAGATGCCTTTTCGAGGAGTATCTGATAGAGATGTTCTGCTTTTGGGAACTCTCCCACTGTAATAAGTATATGACCCAGTCGAGCCCATCCGGTTTCCCCACGGATGTCTTCTCGCAGGTGTGCCGTGAGTTTGTTAAAATCATCATCTTGATTACCTGCGAGGGTGAGATTAACTTGCCATAGGCGATCCGTATGCTCGTCGGGAATTCGTTCGATTCGGTTGATGCGAAAAATCGTATGTGTTGAAAAGAGTATCTCTTCCTCTTGACCTTCGAAGAAACTAACTTTGCTTACTTCAGCAAATGGTGTTGATGATTTCATGCAAATCGCCGTGTCAATGTTCATAATAAAGAGGATGCCGACTGAATTGGGATTGACTGTAGCTGGTAGGGCAAAGTTTTTGAAAGATATCTCACGATCACGACTTGTCGAGAGAAAATTATTGAAGGACATAAGTCCTCCTTTGGTTATTTTCATTTTTTCAAAGTCTTCCACGGACAAACCTTGTCCACGAAAGACTTGAAATTTTGTCGGCATGCTGCCCTGTTGTTCGCGGTGTAATTGTGTAATATGGTTGTGGAGATGACGGATGAAAAAACCCATTTTAAGTATAATGTCGACATTCATTAGTCGAAGACCACAATTGAGCATTGAGTAAATAAAATATGGACCTGTGTACCACCAAATGGGTGAATGATTACGGTATTCTCGTTCGATCATTTCAATTGTTTTTGGGGAAGCACTATCTTGAAGTCGACAGTATTCAGCAAGTTCTTTAATCGATTTCGCATCATCATCCTCTATATCCAAAAGTGCTTCTTTCAACAATTGTGTATACATGAATAATGGGTCCAAACGATTAAAACTGATTGATATCAAAGCTC